TGAACAGATTTACTAGATTTCGACAAATGAAATTGTAGATTCTCTAGTGAATTTCCTCACTGTCCCAAGATACAGAATCGACTCCCTGAGTGAAGTTTCCGAACGCCTATATAGTTCACTGTTTCGAACCAGAGAAACCGTCGGAGAAACCATAAGCGTGATGGTAATTTGAGGTTGTTTGGAGATTATTGTAGGTGAGTGTTTAAAGAGATGTCGATAAGCGATCGTTAATATCCCAGTAAGCAAAATGATAGCAGTTTGTCGGCAGATTGGTATAATAGATTTGATCAGACATGTCAGCATTCAGCAGACTGACATCAATTGCGTTCGTATTCATGTTCTGCCAGCAGAATCTGCTAACAGGGCGCATTCTGTTTCACGCATAATGCGCATCATGTATGAAATGGAATGCACCCATAATCAGACAGCAGATTGGCGGCAGAAACCGCGCAGAGCCTGTACCCCTAAATTCTGTAACTCTTAAGGTGCTTTTTCATGGGCGTCAGTTGACGCTCGAAATCAAGTTCGGGTAAGTTAGATTAGTGTAAGGGTTGGTTTATAATAGCCGTAACCGTTGATTTAAGCCGTAATCTTCAAGAAATTGACCAATCACAGTCGAATGTGAGAAGAATAATCGACTGTGACTGGTCAATTTCTTAAAAATTACGGCTTAAATCAACGGTTACAGCTATTATAAACCAACCCTAATGACGCCGATATTCTGACGCGCAATGAAAAAGGTTTTTATGCGTCAATTTTTGGAACTCGCGTCGAGATGCCAGTTGACGCTAGAAGTTGGGAAATCTGAACTTCTCAGCGTCGACGCAGAAACAACATGACGTCACAAAATCGTCTTGACGCGCGACAACTGACGCCCATGAAATCGCACCTTTAAAGGTGCCTTTTCACGTTAACGCTCGACGCTCATTTTTAGCAAGTAAAAATCTTCAGAAATAATATCTTTTATTTATATATATATCCATAAAATATTATTACTTGAAGATATTACTTGAAAATAATTAATATTTTACGTATTTTAAAGTCTATGTTTGATTGCACTGGGACGATTAACGACGATTCAGCGACGACGCTGAATATTAAACAAATTCAACTTCATTTCTTTGACGCTAGCGTCAAAGCGAAACCACCACGTTCACCTTGTTGACGCTCATTTTCGGCGTCTCATGAATTGGCACCTTAAAGGTGCCAATGCTTTGGGCGTCAAAGAAATGAAAGTTGAATTTGTGTAATATTCATCGCCGTCGATGAATCGTCGTTAATCGTCCCAGAGTACAATCAAACATTAGATTTCGAAATACGTAAAATATTAATTATTTTCTTGAAGTAATATTTTCAAGTAATAATATTTTATAGATACATATATATAAATAAAATATATTATTTCTGAAGATTTTTGCTTGCTGAAAATGAGCGTCGAGCGTCAACGTGAAAAGGCACCTTTACGCAAGTATACTATATGGAAAAAAAGCTGCGCAACTGTCATTATGAGCACAATGACGCATAACGAGTTACAGAATCGCACTACTGTGGCAGCAGGGGGAAGTGATCCGCGCAGTTCCTTGGGCCTAACGAATCTACGGCATCAAACCGAGTTCAAGACACTGCGGATATACACATACAATTACGCATACGCACATACATATACACATCCCCGAGTTTGAAGAATAATTAAATCGCATTTTTGTAACAGCGCCATTCGTGGCTTACGACTTTGCCGAGACACGCCGATTACGGCTACTACGACAAGAGGTTCGCCCTGGCCATCTTTTGAGCAGTATATTGCTTGTAGGCCATAATATAAGAAGAAGAAAAATCGCACTACTGAACGGTTTTAGCAGGGTCTGCTCGATTTCTACAGCTGCAATCTGCTGTTTGATTATATTAACAGATTTTTTTATGCTTCTGTTAGAGTTCTGTTGACATCATGTGATATATCAGAACTAGTATTAAGGGTCACTATTTCCAACGTCTGTTAACCTCTACCGATGTTAACCGACGTTAACAGACGGTTAACTTTTCAGAATAGCGAATAGAAATTGGTTATTTTGAAAGTTAACCTTCAGTTAGAGGTTAACAGACGTTGGAAATAGTGACTTATGACAATTATTTATCGAAATAGCCAATTTCTATTCGTTATTCTGAAAAGTTAACCGTTGGTTAGAGGTTAACAGATATTGGAAATAGTGACCTTTAAATCTGTAATGTTTCTGCCGACAAAATTTGTAGCAGATACTTAGCAAAGTCTGCTTTCAATAGACTTGGCTGTTTGGGATTATAAATATAGTACAAAAATTAAATGATAAGAATGTATATCTTGTCGTTAGGCTATGGGCAGGGCATGCTGTGTCTTGGGATGTCCCTCGGGAGGAGACGCCCCGTCTCATCAGATCCCCAAGAACCCTGCTCTCTTCCAGAAGTGGAAAAGCATGATTTACTCTGAGAAAATTCAACATCTTACCGACGAGCAGATAAGCAAATGTGCCGTATGCTATCGGCATTTTGCCGACGATGACTATCTAGTAACCTTCCGAGTAAGGAAGTTGAAACGCGGTATTGCACCTTCTTTAAACTTGCCAAACAATCCAACTTCTAGCATATCTAATGTGATTGAAATAGAATCGCAAAGATCGACTGCCAGCACGAGCATGTTCGCTGTGAAAGACGTGATAGCGATGACGGAAAGTCAAAGAATGACCAATGTACCAGAAATGACTCAAATTGCGTTGTTCCAAGATACTCCGGAAGAAGATGATTCCTACTTATTCAATCAGCCACAAACTTTACCGGGCAAACATACTGACTTAACTAATTCAACGGCAGAAACATTTAAATTAGAACATAGAGAAAAAGTATCAAGAAAAAAACAAATAAAATTAACCACGGGGCACTTATCTCTATTTCGATGTAAGCAACAAGCCAAACAATACGAAAAGACACCTACGATACAAAAGCTATTATCTTGTCTCACGTCTACTGAAATTGCTTCTATTAAAACCAAAATACGAAAGTCAAGATATTCCCCAAAGATATATGTAAGAGTGTATCACGATATTGCAAAAAGGAGGGCCCTTGGTCAGTTATGAAATCTAATTTATCGTAAGTCTCAAAGTTGAGAATAAAAAATCACAACGCGAAACTTATTGTTTTCTATTTTTGGAATAACATAATAAGAAGCCAATCGTGTTACTTAAATTGATAAGAAAGAGTTAATTTCATCATAATAAGTGCATATTAACAATGTACAAGTTTTATCATAATAATATCATAATAATAATGTATAACAATGTAAAATAATAATGTAAAATAATGTAAAATAGTAATGTAAAATAATGTTGTATCTTCACAACAAGATAATTTTCGCTCTCATACGGTATCATGTATTACCTCTAATTATAATCATTATTTTTTAAGAAAAATACTAGTTATACTAACTGTATATATTACTGCAATTTCTGTTGCATACACAAGATATTATTTAACTTTTATTTTTTTAGATGATAAAAAATGCTTTAGATAGAATCTTCCTCTGCGTATATTGAATTAAAGAGATTGGTTGCTCAAATCAATATGATAAGAATTGGTTGAAATTTATGGAAGATATTTGTCTATGGGAATCTGTCGTTCATGCCAAAGTTGAAGACAATTGTCTGCATGGTTAACCGACGTTAACAGACGGTTAACTTTTCAGAATAGCGAATAGAAATTGGTTATTTTGAAAATTAACCGTCGACAATAAAATTATACTCTTGTCTCTCTTTTATATATGGGCGACATAGCAAAAATTTTACCTAACCTGTAATGTAACTCTCGAAAGCATATTAAAAATGATAAGAATTTAATGAAAATAGGTGCAAATAATTCTTTACATATTTAGGAAGAACTTTTTCGAAAACTGAAATTATTTATCTACATAGTTATTAAGAAATTGTAAAAATAAAACAGGACTACATTTATTTTTTCCACATTTTAACGTGGATAAATAACGTATTTGGGTTTCAATTGTACAAACAACTCTTTTTAAACCTTAAGAAACAGCAATTGAACGCATTCCACATATTTATTAGCTAAAATTCGTTTATTTCACGCGATGATAATTTAACCTATATGCTTTTCCTCTGCCGCGCCGCCTGCCCCGCAGCGGGACGTCAACTCACCGAACTCCGACGGAGTCGATAATTTTGACCGTTTTCTATGTTCCGGCCTATATCTGTCCTTATCTAACGAGATATTTGCGATATATTTTGTATATAAGTGAACGTTTTCTTGAAGTGGCAGCTCTAGGTACAAAAGGTGCTACACCAACTAGTATTAAATATATTTTTCTTAGGTTTTTAGTCTTTACCATCCTGCACATGATTTCTGTACATACTTTAAACGTGTAAATGGGTTTTCCATTCTCCATGCGTAAAGCCAATTCGAAGAAAATTGGTCCAACTGAAATATCGGTAATTGCCGTGATTCCAGGACACCAGTTTGGCTACTATACGAAAAAGATTCAACGGTAATGTTGGGTGCAAAATTCTAATATTATGTCGTTACAACGGTAGTTTTACTGTATTTTTAAAAACAAATACATGAAATATACATTTATAATTATATGTATGTATAATTGGTAGAAGGATTATATTATTCTCTGAATAGATCTCTGAATGCTATCTTACCGCTAACGACGTCACAGAGAGTATAACGTATCCTTTCTGAACACATAATCTTGACGGGGATTATTTGGTTGAGCACTTTACTCGCCGGTGACGAATACTTTTATTACGCGAGAGACTCTCTATACTGACAATAAATGGTGATAAATATTAATATCCGTGCGACCAATTTCAAACAGAGAAGTGAAGAGGAAGGGGGAAAATAGCCGATCGAATTGGTACAAAACAGAAGTACACAGCGAAAGTTATACTCTTTAGGATCGGTTGATCTGTGCGAAGTGTTCTCGAGCGTAACATACATCCAAAATCTGATAAATTACGTTGAAAAATATTTTCATTTAACACATTTACATTAATTTCTATACATCTTATTGATTTATTCTGGAGGTGCTGGATATTCAGTGCATTGCTTTTTTAAGGTATGGTTCTTTACTCTTTTTTTTTATCTACGTTCACTAATTACGAAATTACAATCCAGAACATGCTCGATTTTACGACCGATCTCAAAGAGTTCGTGTTCGTCGTTCGTGATTTAGAAATACTTTCCCTTAAGTTGCGTAATTATTACCTACAGAATATTTTCCGGGGTTTTTCAATTTACAATTTTGTGCGCTAAGTAAAAAAAATATTGACTTCGAGACGAGTCAATAGAAACCATCGTCAAATTAAGGCGCCAAAGTTATCGGAATCTTGCCTACTAATATATAGAGAAAAAAGGGAGAATCAACTTAAATTCGATTAAAATTAAAAATTTCAAAATCTGTCTTGAAAGTGTCTTTTCTATCATCGATTTAATCAACACGCTCAAAATTACTCGATCATTGACTCGCGTAGCATTGTATAATTAAAGTAATTGAAATAATAGATAGAAGAGAAACTTTTTGCCTCGCAAGCATGAGGAGACGCGGATCGAGAGAAGATTTAATGAGCTTTGACAGATGAGAAGTCTGTCTGCCACGGCAGAAGCGAATTAAGTTCTTTGGAATCCATGAATGAGAATCGTATATATACGGAATTTACGTGCATGAGAAGCGTCATCCGATTTTTAGGTCGCTTTTTTAGGCCTTGTGAGGATTGATTTTCGTTTTCTTAAAATAGCATTTTGAATCGCATGTTCTATCACTCCTGAATATTCATCTGGATCGACTTGGCCGTTTTATACGATTAGATAAATAAACGCGCTCCTACACGGTACGGGAGCAGTTTGTGCGTTGTGATACTTGTGATCGATAAAATCGATAGGTACGTGGCTGCCTCTCTAGTCGAAATGCGCGCGTTTGGACGAGCTATAAACGCCGATCAACATCAGAATGTGTACTAATTTGATTGTATGTCGCCTGGTGCAATGTTGACCGACTCCGGCATTTATATATTCCCGGTAATGTGGAGCAAGACGGATGGAGCAGTCGAGTCGAGAAGCGGAAAATAAAACTATAAAATAGAATTAACTCAATCAAATATGTAATTTATTAAAAGTTTAGAAGTGAAAACAATCTGGGTGCTATCCTGGGACCGTATTCTCGAGCCTGCCCTAATGATTTTCGTATGCGACTTTCTATTTGAAAAGCATTGAATTTCGCATGCGAGTTTCATGAAAACGATTCAAGAATAGAGCCCCTGATCGTGCGGTTAAAAGAAGGATATATATATACCATCTCTCTGGCATCAATTTCTTATTTTCTTCAAATAAATCATCTCAATTGTACGAATCAGATTTGAATAACAATGCAACGTGAAAATAATGACGAAGCAACGGTAGCAATAAAAAGATATGTACAATGTACATACAATGATATAATTGATATAAATATATAATATTATACTTTACATTATACCATAAATATATAGCACACATATATTATATGTATATTTATGAGGTAAAATTACCACAAATACTCGAAATATATAATAACTTATTGTAAAAAATATTATAAATTTATATTTTATATCTTAAGTAATAATAAATAAATGAATGAATAAATGAATAAATAAATATATA